AAGCACTTCATCATTCATGATGTGGGCGTTTGTAGGAGTGTTGCTGTTAGTTGGATAGATTCTAAAATAGATTGGTTGTTTTTCCAACCAATCTAGTTGCTTAAAACCGTTTTAGTTAGATTGAAAAATGTAAGATCAAAATCTTAGCAAGCCACTGGACACAGCTGTAACTTTAGTGTTAAGTACTATTGCTGTGAGTATAACAGTTATTAATACCGGTGGCGTCAGCTGTAAGACATTGTCTTTCACTTCTGAGGTTGTTGGTTCAAGACCCACCTTAGAGTTTTGAAAGTTGCAATTATACTTACGTATTTTGGCTAATGAGACTGAATTCTATTGGTTCGCCTTAGTGAAAATATAGATTGGGTAAAAACACTACCAAATTAGATTGGCTGGTTTAGCCAAAAGATTGGTTGAACACATAATTACCAACCCGATTAGAACCAAAAACTATGGAAAAAAATATGTTTGAATAAAAATGACTAACACCTTTCAGTTGCTCATCATTGCCCAATTTTCACAAACACTTTTACTGTCTGCTTGAGCTTATTTCACCAAAATGGCAGAAAAATAGTGTACCTAAAATGATTATTCTCTTCTAAGACGTTTTACACCAAAAAAACTTACAAAAGATTTCATTATACAAACCAATCATTAACAATGCAAAGGAACTTAAATGGGGGGAAAAAAACAAGAAAAACCAACTGCAAAAAATTGCAGTTTTTATAACTAACTGTAGTTCGGCACTCCACCAGTAGGTGATGAAATGTTTACATGAAGCTTCATGAACTGTGGGGATCTTGAAGCAATTTAGCCAAATGGTTCAAACGCCTAATGAGGTTTATCTCACATCACTACAAAAATCCCAAATCCAAAAATACGGAAAACCAAACAAAAACCAATAAACATCAGGGAAAACAATCAGGGGAAGCAAGACACTAGAAAGCAATGAAACAACATCAACAACACACGAAACCAACACTGAGTGAAGGCTCTGCTGCTCTTTTAAGCCCAGCACTCTGATGAGAAAGATTATATTCACCTGTGTAGGCTACCCAGATTCTCCACAAAGATCCTCTCTGGAGGAGATGCATAACTCGCACTCACTCACACATGCAAAGGCTGCCGATGCTCTTTCTAAGACTTTTACTTTGGCATTAAAACAGATACACTTGCGAACTAGATTTTTTTTTTTTACAGTTAATATAAGAGATAAAAGGAATTGTATAGAAAATATATATATACAGTTCTCAATTACCTCAGCTAGATTAAATAATTTCTTAACAATCAAGCGGTAACTGATTTAATTTCCCATTTTTCAAATTATAGTTCACATACATATCCACAAACATCCACAAAACAGTTAAAGCAGTAACCTCTATATGATAAATTTTTTAGCACAGACCAACTATTTTTATGTTAATATGCTCATTTTAAAGATATGCACAAATTTAGAAAGAGGAACAGAGAATAAAAGTAGTAACATATGATAAAACCGTTTAACTCATTATTTAATTTGGGAGAATGTTATGATTCCCCTATGGATTACTGTATGCAATTTGACAACTTTGTGATCTCTCTCAGTGTCCTGTTGGTCCGGTCAGCCTGTTTGTGTTCTCAGTAAGGGCGTTCCTTGTGTGCAGAGCCCTCTGGACCATCTGCCAGAAGACTCCTGGGTGGTGTGCAGCCTGTGGCCAGCTCAGGTAAGTGCGTTTCTTTACCAGTTTCCTCATGCGGAAATACGGAGATAGAAGATAACCAGGAATCTCCTCCAAAAACAGCAGGATCAGCACATCCCTTTTTTCGTCAAACAGCCGAAAGCTGCAAAATTAGTCAAAAAGTAAAGAGTGTTGGTACTGTACTACATCTTGACACAAACCCATTTGAATTAGTTATTTAGCGCTATGGTTACTTTGAATACAACTAAAAGATGTTGTATTCTTATATACATGTTTTGCCAAAATATTGAAAATACATCAGCCCTTTTATCAACATTCTTTGTAATTTCTTTAATCAGAATAGAAAGTAATCAGAATACTTGGTCCTTCGTTGGAGTAGTGCCAGTAAGTTGCGCATGCAACATAATATACCCACTCTAAATGCTGTGATCAGAAACCTTGTGTATCAATTTAGATTGCTTTTAGAGGACTCAAATGATACAGTAGGGTTGATAATTGTTGTTTTACTTACATTAGGCTTTAAAATCCAGATTGAGACACTTCTTGCTATCAGAAACTCTGAAGGATGTGCCTACATGGATTGTAGTATATTTTTTAGGTGTAGTTGTCTGTTTTTGTATTTTTGATTCTGTGTTTTGGTATTGATATTAGATTGAAGCATTAATAAAGCATTTTCCATTCCTCCCATATGTATTAAAAAAATAGATATAATCAGAGATTTCACCTGTACCTTGCCATCTGGATCTCCCTGGAGCACCATTCACTTTGTAGGTAGCTGCGACTGATCACACAGATGGTCTTCCTGCTACTATAAATGGCGTCAGTGATGTTTTCTATGATGGGTTTACCTGTGGACAGGATACATGTGGTTTACTATCTGTATATTAAACTGCGAGCTTTCACAGGGCAAACAATAATAAAATTACTTCCTTTGCCAAAATATAATACTCGCTAATATTTTTTATATTCATTGCCAGAAAATAGAGATTACCTGGAAGACCAATTTCTTATAGTTTACCTGGTTGGAAATCTCTGTGGTGTAGACAAAGTCTCCAGCCCTGTTTCTCCTCCAACATGGGAAGCATCTCTCTATAAACCCAGTCTTCATCATTGATGTTGTAGGACACAAAAGCATCAAACCTGTATGAGTCTCCCTTCTTCCTTTTCTTGCTATCATAGAGAAAGGCCAAGAAGAGGTGAAAGGTGTAGCCAAGTTTCCACCTTAGGTAATGGTGGATGAAGGGAATAAGAAGAGTTAGAACGACAAGACAGGTGCTGGAAATGAAGCAGAAAAAGGTGCCATCATCCCGACAGGACAGGATATCAAAGTCTAACAGCAAGCTTCCTTGTTTGGGCAAAGGAAATTCACATATATACTGAGATGTGTTTGCTACTTGTGTTTGCTTGTTGTCTTTTGCCCAGCGAATAAAACCTGCATTTGAGCATTCACAGGAAAACGGGTTATTGCTCAGGTCCAAGTATGTTAGAAAAGGCAGGTACTGGAAGACAGTTTCATTAATGACAGTGATTTTATTCTCAGTCAGTTTTAGATATCTGAGTGCAGAAAGATTGCTTTGTACAATAAAATCCAAATCCTTGATCTTACATTTAGAGAGATCAAGAGCCTGCAGTTTTGGGACGTCTTGAAAAAGGTTTGGATTTAAATTGGACATATCAGTCTCAACAAATGTCATACTCTTGAGTTGAGGGTTAAATTGAAATATGTTGGCAAATACAGCATTTATATGTACATTTACAGCTGTAAAATGCTGCAGTTGTTTCATAGGCTGGAGCAACTGAATTGGTACACTAGGAAGGGAGCCAGAGGGATCTACTCTGGAGATGAATGTAATCCTTTTCACAGACTTTAGACGATATGAAACTGTGTAATTATCTGTCTGATTAATTTCTGAAGCATATTTAGTCACTAGATAGATTGTTATATTTTCTAAGTGCTCTAATCCGTTAACATTTAGTTCACAATTACGTGTAAGTGATACCACAAGAACCTGTATGTAGCTTAGGCCTTTAAATGTTTCACGTTTGATTGTTGTATCAATATTTGATGCCGTATTTAAATGCCTCAGAGATTGTAAAACTTGAAAGCAACCTGTTTCTAGAATCATTATTTTGTTGTCACTTATGTCCAAGACCTCAAGTCTGTGAAGGGAAACATTAAAGGTGCCTCTGATTGTCCGCAGTTGATTTTTGCTAAGGTTTAAAAGCTTTAGATTTTTAACATTTTCAAATACGCATCTTTTCAGCTTAGTAATACAATTACTGTAAAGCGAAAGCTCTCTAAGACTGGTTGTATTGATAAAATCCTCACAGCTAAGATGGGAGATGAGGTTAAATTCAATGTTTAGGATCTGAAGATTTGAGAGTGTCCTAATATCATATGGAACTTCTACAAGAGTGTTGGTACTCAAACTTAATGTTACTAGATTCTTCATTGTCTGTATTGAGCCATTTGGAAGTTCATTTATATATGTTTGAGTCAGGTTTAGTTCTGTGAGCTGTGAGCAAGGTGCAAGTTTCAAAGTCATGCTATTTAGATATGTGTGAAATAAATCCAGCTTTCTTAGTTTTTGTAATTTGCAAACAGTAGATAGCAAATCTTTAATGTACTTGTCCAAGTAATTAAGTCTGAGATTACTTAATGACTCAAGATTCTGGAGGACTTGTTTGAACCTTTTCAAGGAAAGTACAGGCTGACTAATGTATAAATGCGTTATGTTCCTGAGTAAGGTTTTATCAGGTGTTTTCCACCTCAGTGCAGAATGACTTCTATAGAGAACTAGCTTTTTGAGGTTAGGAAACACTGGTGTAGAGATACTAAAAGTTTTCATCTTATGTGTGGAAAGAATTAACTCTTCAAGATTTGAGGACAAATTTCTGAAAAGTTGTGTCGTATTAAAGCATAAAAATGAATTGTGACTGAGGTTAACCCTTTGTATGTGGGGTAGCTGGAAGATCGGCTGAAAGTGAACAATTTGCTGGAGTTTATTATAATCTAAATCCAGAGTTTTTAGGCTTGTCAAATCTTGGAAAGCTAATTCATGAATGAACTGAATTCTGTTATGACTGAGGTCAAGAGAAATCAGGTTGGAAAGGCCCTGAAATATGTTTTTAGGCAGGTTGGTGAGGGTATTTGATGCTATTCTAAGTGTTGCCAGTATGACTAAATCCTTGAAGGAACCTTCATCCACATCAGAAATGTTATTTTCTCCTACATCCAGAATTTTCAGCTTTGACATGTCCAGAAAATCTCCTTTGTTAATCCTTTTTAGCTGATTGCTGTTGAGTTTAACCAAAACCGCATCTTTTGGAATTTCATCGGGAATAGTTACAAGCTTCTTGTTTGCGCAGTCCAAAGAAAGATCATTAGAGAGATTCTCCTGATAAAGTATTGTGCACTTTTTCAGGGCAAAAGCCAGTGAAGGGTTAAAGCAAAGCAGAAGACAAAAAATTTGCAGAATCAGGTATGAAGAGTAACTTTCGGCTGCAGCCATGTTTTTTTTCATGGTTGTGAAGCTGTTTCTGTTTTTCATGGGTGTTAATCTGAAAAAGAAAGGGATATACAAATCAATAAAATCTAGTCCGTGCTAAAGTTCAAAAAGCAACTTTTCAGTGTTTGATATGGATGAAATATATTTAAGGAGAGGAGTAAGGGAAGACATCTCTCAGCGAACAAGGCTAACCAGAATGCGATGCGTTTTTAGATCTGCATCACAGCCCTTCTCAAGTTTCAAACCAGTTGGGTTGTTTGGTATTGTTTTTTGGAATCTTAATAAATACACATTACCAAAACTGTGTTTGTGACTAAATCAAAGCAAACTCTTCTTCAAAAATTTTCATTGGAAATTGTAATTAATAAAATCTCCAGAAGTTTGTGAAAGTCAAAAGCGATTTGTAAGTATAAATTTTATTTACACAGTTCTGAAAAAGCTGAGTGACAGACTTTCCATAAATTGCAGTCTCAATCGCAAATTCAATAAAGTATAATAAATCTAAATCAATAGAACTTTTTATTATGATTATTATTATTATGTTGCTAATGCTAAATTTTTAAGTTAAATATATAGACAGTTGTGAAAATTTAGTCAGCAATTTTTCTATATTACTTTTTTCTTCTAGTACCCTTTAATAGATATTTTCACTAATATTTTTTTCCCCATATTTTATTTAAGATCTGGTTCAAGCAAGAACAATAGCTTTTGCATGATGCAGCTAGATCCTCTATATCAAATACAGCATGATGCATCTTAACTAATGAAAATGTACCTCATAACTCTAAACATGTACAGAGTTTGTTCAATTTTACATTAGAATTGAGTCTTCACTTTTTATTTATTTATTTATTTTTTTTTGTATTTTTATCAAGTGAAACCTTAGTCAAGAAGTCTGAAAAGACACATTGTTATATAAAATATCCAAACAGAGAGGAAAAATATATGTTTGGACCATTGTTAGACCATGGCAAATGTTGCCTATCAGTGTCCCCTGCACTGTTCTGGGTCAATTTCTTCACACGCTGATCCATCTTTTTCCTGTATACTAACCAAAATGAAATCTCTTTAAACCTGTACTAAAACATCAAAGAAATAGACGATTTATGTTGTGGAGCATCTTCAGGCATGTATGGACTGTACTAACTGGGGTATTGTCATATCAACCAGATACATAATCCAGATGAGCCTAAAGAGGCTGCAGAATCTTATATCAACTCCTTTGCACACAGCTGTATTCCAAAGTAAACAATGGACAGCAACATGAAAAGAAGCCAGGCCGTCGTCATTGTGCTTCGTTTCACTCCTTTGTCCGACAGAATGTCTCTTTGCTAGTTAATCAAATGCCCGCAGAGTTGTTTTAGGTTGTTATATCAGATGCGTCTGACACAATGTTGTGACTTACGTTCTTCGTGCTCAATGGTATTACGTAAGTTAGCGAGTCGACCTGGGTCTGATGTTCCCACTGTTCGTGATCGGGGGCCAGGCCGTTTGAAGTTGATTTTTACCCATGTTGCTTGCAGAGGTGTTTGACACCGGTTTCCACTCCCACTAAAAGCCGATTGTTTGGAGGTTTATATGGATTTCTTGGCAAGTGGAAAAGGGGTATTTGAAAGCTCATGGAGAGATCAGCACACAAAAACATGATAGATAAGTCACAGCTTCTACTGGGGTTCTGGGGTACACCCACAGATATCTAATAATTTGACTAATAAATATCACTCCGAACAATAGGTTTCTACATCTCCATGTTGTGTGGTGTTGCAACCTTGCAGCCTATAAATAAAAGCTCCAGACATGTCTGCACAACCCCACAAAAATCAACAAACAAAAATTAACAACAAAAAGCAGACATCCTTATATGTGTATATGTATAATGTGTATATGCTCTGATTTAATATTGTGGTTCATGTTCAACTACTGCCACTGTGCTCCTATGCTGTAAAGCTTGCCTTTCTTAATTCTAAAATGTTATATTTTGGTATTTAATTATGTTAACTTTTAAGCACCTCATCATAATAACAAATTACTTGTATGTGTAAACAATACTACTTGGCAATAAAATAAAGTATTTTTGATTCTGATTGGCTGAGAGCCCTGATAAGGAATGCTAGAATAACTAAGAAAAGAATGACAGGATTAGGAGTAAAAATGAGAAACTTGCTTTGTGAATGCTGATATTAACTTTTAAACAAAAATAGTTTTACTGATTATGGTGACCATAAACAAGTATTCAGTATAAACAGCTTTCAACGTAATGTTGCCAGAGTGGTCTAGACTGTGTATACTTTGTATTTAATAAGATGCTTTAAACATATAGGACAAGAAAAAAATTTCATATCAATAAGCACATACTTGTCAGGTTGGTCAGCTGAGATACGAAAAAACACAATTGAAAAGTCAGTGTCTTTTTTCTAACCGTCTTATGATGTTAAAAAAAATACTTCCCTTCTTTGCTTGGTTAGTTTATGCCCTTACATTTATATTATAGCTGGTTATGCTAACCTTAATACATTGACAAAGTTAGTAAAATGTATTATGAAAAAGATACATTTCTGCAACTTACTGTCAATGATGATATCTTCATGCTTCATCTTTCATGGCAAAAGCACAAACTGTTTCAGTTCTTCATTTTTTTCTTCAGAGAGATGATCTGTGGGCTGCAGCCTTACACATTTGCGTTAAATACGCAGAAAGCAAACAGGAAACTGTCATTTAGCTTCCAGTTATAGCCTACTGACTTGTACTGTTGTTCAACCTGAACAATTCTGAGAACTTTTTAGTGTGTGTGGGTGTGTAGCCACGATTGTGTTACCCTGGGGGATATGGTCACAGATATATGCTACATTTCTTGGTAAAGCCATAAAAATAAATACAATATGAATTGAAGACAATAGAAAATCCCTACAAGAATAGTATTACA